TGACATGTCGTGGGGTTGTTAACCATTGTCATAAAACAATATGTGTACTAACTGTTTAATGAGAAACTATTTGTTCTGTAAACCCTCATCTAAAGTACAATTAAAAAAGAAAAGAATTCAATTTCCTATTTAAAAACCGTTCAAAGCAAATCACACCATTGCCAGCTGAAGCTGAGAGCCTCGCACAGGGAATGGAGGTGCTCAATAAACGAGTGATACTGTGAGTCTAAATGCTGGCCAGCAGTAAGAGAGGCCTACCTGCCAAGGGTGAGCTGTCCCACCGAATCTCTTCTCTGGGGGCCAAGGTGGTGCTCCACAACCCAAGTTAGGGCACTTCCTAGACTATGCTGCATAATCACCCACAGGACAACCATACAGAGGCTAGTCAGGTCAGCTACAAAGAAACTAGAAAACCCTCAAAAACTCTGGCACAGCCAACCTCCCCTGCTAACCAGAACTGGGGCAGCCCATGTTAGACCAGCTGGTTATCTTTTCCTATTATGAAAATTATCACAGGCTAAGGGAAACTAGGAGTCTCTGGGTGGTGCAATCAGTTAACACTCTCAGCTGCTAACCAAAAGGCTGGAAGTTCAAGTCCACCCAGAGGTGCCTCAGAAGAAAGACCTGCAATCTACATCTGAAAAATCAGCCGCTGAAAACCCTATGGAGCACAGTTCTACTCTAATACACATTGGGTCGCCATGAGTTGGAATCAACTCAAGAGCAACTAGTTTTCAGATAAATGCCAAGAGGATGCTATTGGCAAAACTAGGATTTTAAAAAAGTGTTTCATGCCACTTGCTCTGAAGTGTGGCACGGGCAGATTTTTGTGGCAGATCGTAAATCAGAACTGATTGTGTATAAAACGAGGAAGGCTTATGAGGGATGGCATGTTTTCAAGCTCACTAAATAACTGAGGGGGAAACAAACAACAACCAGAAATGCCAGGTAAAAGCTTCAGCAGTAACACCATGATGCCATAAGCACAAGCCTGTGTACGTTCCTGATGTGGAGTAAACTAGGCTTACGTGAGGAGGCAGTCCTTCGGACAAGCCTGGCAGCCATGTCATCTGGTCCTCCCCCTGCTGGCATCTTTAGGCCTCCAAACCAACCACTGCGCCCTCCCCCCACCCCCGCCCAGCCTAACGGCTTGTCTAAATGTTAGCAAGGTGAAAGATACGTTTCTGGGCAAGGTGCCAAGGTGTCTGACCACCACCAGCTCCCCCGCCCCATCCTTCTAGAGTGATCAGGTGGGAAAAATCTCCACGTAACAGGCATGTCGGTTGGGGGTATAGAACAGCTGTTGTTAGGTGCCGTCGAGTTGCTTCTGACTCATAGCGACCCTACAGGACAGAAAAGAACTGCCCCACAGGGCTTCCAAGGAGCAGCTGGTGGATTTGAACTGCCAACCTTTTGGTTAGCAGCCGAGCTCTTAACCACTATGCCACCATTCTCCATGAACAGCTAGGGGGGTGGATTTTTCTCTGTCTTCTCAGGCATGGTGCAGGTGGGGCACACATAGCATAAGCTCACAGTCCACCTAACTGGACCTACCTGGCTCCCACTGTGTCCATCACCGATGATGCCAGACGGAAGGCAGGTGTGAAAGAGTTCTCTATATCCACCAGGGACACTTCCAGAAGCCAGCCTGTCACGAGACTGTTCCATTTAAGTCTCTCACCCACGACACAAAGTGGGGTGTGAACAGAAGAGTCCTCATCTCTGACTGGACAGCTTTTGAGTCAGGAGTTACTGCTGGCTCATCCTGTTATATGCTATTTGCTTCTTTTTGTAGTAATAAAAACTACTTTCCATGTGCTAACGTGTGCTCAGGCTCTGAGCAGAAGGACACGATAGAAATGGAGCAATTCCACATTGGTGATTGGTGCCCTTTTTATAACGGCCTGGCTATCTAGAACTTGGGTACCACCTGTGAGCATCACACAGATTTGGCTTGTTGCCCCACAGCTTATCCTGACAATGTCAGCATAGTCTTTCGTCACTCTGGCAGTAAACAAACAGTACAGCTATTCTTAACAAGTTATGAATTTACTATTAACCTCCTAATCGTTGAAATTAAGGAAGACACTTTTTTTTTTAAGTGCAATTCTGAATTTTAAGGCTAAGGGATGAAGCCTCTTGACTGTAGGTTAACATATCTTATTCAGGATTGCTACATATAGCCTCTCCAATCCCTGTTGCCTCTGGGTACAGCTCAGCAATCCTTGATTGCATCCCCAGTCCCTCCCTTTCCCATTTCCCAGTGTGGCCATCCATCTCCACCACTTTCTCTCAGCAGTTCATCTTGCCCCCAATGTTTGCCTGGCTACCCTTGTGCCCCCTTCAGGACCTCCTCAAGCATCTCCACCTTCATTTCTTCATGACTTACCAGATGTTTGCACATCCTCTTCTGGGCCACCATTGCTCCTATACTTACATCCACAGTGGTGGTTCTCAACCTTGAAGGTCATCAGAATCACCTAGAGGACTTGTGAAAACAGGCTGCTGGGCCCCACCTCCCAGAGTTTCTGCTTCAGTATGTCTGGGGTGGGCCACAAGAACTGCTCTGCTAACACAAATACCCAAGTGACGCTAATCCTGCTGATCCAGGGACCACACTCTGAGAAAAATTTCTCTTAATTACTTGACTACTTGCTTCTATCTTCCACTAGACTCTTGAGACCAGGGGTCATTTCTTACACATCTCCACATCCCCAGTGGCTAGCCAGTGGCTAGCCGTCATTCAATCAATCAACAAATATTTACTGAGTGCCTATTATGTGCCAGGCACTGTTCTAGGCACTGGGATTCAGCAGTTAAAATGTATATATATATATAGACTGATAGTAATATGGAAATATCAATTTTCTTTCTCCTAATCATAGTTTTTCCCATTTGTGTGCTTCTCCCTTCTCATATCCCATCCCAACGCCCAACATACATCCATAAACTTGGCAATATACCAGGCTTTTAGTTCTTATAAAATATTTGCTGATTAATTTGACATTATTAGTAACAAACAACAAATCCAAGAAAAACTTAAGCACATATAATTAATATAGCAAAGCAATTTGGAAGTAAACAATCTTGAGTGTTTTAACATTAATAAATATTAAAGAATACCTTAACGAGTAGGTTTTAAATTAGCATTTGTTATCTCTAAGGACTATGTCTCCCCTCCCTCCTTACTCCACACCCTACACTTTGTGTTAAAATACTTAGCGCAGTTCTCCACTGCCTGGCATGATGACTCTGAACTCCCAATCCACCTCAGCAGGCTGCTGCACAAGCAGGGGGCATTCAGTCAATATCTGACCCCAGTCCTGGAGGAGTCCTGTGTGCAATTCTGAGAAAGAAGTAGGGCAGCCCTCTCAGGCCATGTGGTGCCATTGAACGGAAGGGGGCAAGAGCAAAGGCAAACCTCATTACCTCCATACACCCTGAAATGTCGTTTCTTATGATGTCACGCCCCAAGCCAGCGAGCCATGGGCCCTGCAACGCCTTCCCTAATTCTAGGAAAGTACCAAACACAGGTGGCTCACCTTTGGACTAATTTCCTGAGAGTTTCTCAGCAAGTAAAAATGAGGGGAATCACAAAGAGTGATTTGGAACGTAACAGCACCGACTGTAATATTTACTCTCAAGACCATTTCAGTATTCTTAAGGTTTGGAAATGTTTTTAAAAGGCCTTCTTTTTTAAGGTCAAAGCCATGAGACAGTCCATGTTAATCACACGGGAGAAAAAAATGGGTAGCATTTATGAATGGGATTCAAAAAAGGCTAGTTTCAATACTGCAGACTAAAATATCTCTTTTCTGTTTAAAATTATACCCACATTTGAGGTTCATTGTTGGAGATTTCAAGAGTCAGTGATATCAACTAACAACACTGTCTCAGAATAATAGTCTGTTAGTATTGCTACCCCAAATCAGTGATACAACACCCTGATCTCCAACAAATCACTGTAATTTCTACATACCAAAAGATTTAAGAAAAATTAATAATCTTTTTAGAAATGTACTTTTAAAATGGCGACCAGGTCTACTAGCTTTACTTCTATGAGTCAATCCTAATTAAGTAAATTCTGATTATTTGAATACTTTGGGTATAAAGGCGACCTTCTGGTTAGCCATACACTGACTCTTAAAAGATGGCAAGATTGTCATTTATTTCTGTGAAGCAATTTACTAACGGGCACCCTTTTAATCCAAATAAATTAATATTTCTTGAAAAGGGGCAGTATTCCCGGCTAAGAGCTGATCTCCAGTGAATCAGCCTGTTTCAAACTAGCTAGTAGTATAAAGTCAAGATAAATAGAAATCAATCTTCCCTACTGGTGATTAAATCCTTCTCACTAAACTATTGCAACCTTATTTAGTGTAATAAAAGACATGCTACTATATTCTGGAAAACACGCAAATAAATCTAAAATAAAAATATTCTCATTAACATCATTTGCTAGTAATAAATTTTCTCCCTTAAAAAAATTCTTGCAATTAGTCACAAAATTCATCCTTATTTTCTGAGTTAACAAGGCTGAATTTTAAAAGTGCAATAAAAATTCTTGGTGCCTTCGCTCCAAGTTAGCCAGGACTTCTTAGCGGTTTCCAAGACACAGCTTCTTGTTTTGGTGCTGTTCTTCATCCAGAGGTATGGGTCTCAACACACCATCTAGAATTCAAGAAGAAACATCAGGGAAACTTCACCTTAAAATATGGGTATTTGTTCCAACCATAGGGTTGTAAGATCAAAATAATGCTACAGTTAAAGGAACGTTCATTTTATTTTATCTTCAAATTTTCAACTGTTGAAGAGCAGATTCTGTAACTCACTTCCAGGTACTATAGCAGCTAACCTTTTAAAAACTCGATTCACTAAACAGTGTATGGCCAACAGTTCATAAAACTTTTTTGGGCAAAATGTTATTATTATTAGTCTGGAAGAAACAAAAATGCACCTACTTATCCTTCATAGGGAGCCCCCTGGTGATGCAAACAGTTAATGCACTCAGATGTTAACCAAAAGGTTGGAGGTTCGAGTCTACCCAGTGGCATCTTGGAAGAGAGTCCTGGTGATCTACTTCTGAAAACCCAGCTACTGAAAGCCCTAGGGAGCACAGTTCTACTCTGACACACACGGGGTCGCCGTGAGGTGGAAACGACTGAATGGCAACTGGTTTTCTGGTTTATAGCGTTTTCTACGTGGATAACCAATTTCCCAGTACCGTATATTAGTGTATTCTTGCCCCTATGTTCTGCATTGCCATTTCTATCATATATAAAGTTTCCATAAATACACAGGTCTGCTTCTGGGCTCTCTGTTCTTAACCGTAGTTCTATTTGTCTATATCTGGGCCAGGCTTCTTTATCATTAATTACTGCAGTTTTTTTTAAAAACTCTTGACAGTAGAGGCAAATCCCCCCATATATATTTTCTTTTCCAGAAATGTACTAGTTTTTCAGTTACTATTTTATCACTAGTTACTGTCAGTTCTGATATATAGTATTTTTACTATCCTTTACTTCTGAGAATTTTTTATACTTCTACTATGATTTTTTTCTTTGATGCAGAAGTTATTTAGAAGCATGTTTTTAAACCAGACCTATAGGCTTTATAAGATTAGTTTTTAAATTGTTGATCCTACTTAATTGTTTTGTGATCAGACAATCAGGCCTGCATAATACTGATTCTTTAAAAATTATAGAGAGTTGCTTTATTGACTAATATTTGGTCAATATGTAAATGTGCTTGAAAAGAAAATGTTTTCTTTACTTATTGGGTGCATATCTACATGGGCCCATTAAACCGAGCTTTGTACTTGTCTTGTCCAAACTTGCAATATATTTGCTAGTATTTTTGTCTGGCTAATATATCAATCATTGAGAATGGTGTGCTCAGATGTACAACAATTGTGGTAGGTTTATCTATCACAAAATAATTTGTCATTTAGTAATTCTACTAAATTTTACTTTATATATATTGAGGATATATATGAGGTCCATATAACTGTAGATCTATTATAGCTTGCTGGTGGACTGAAACTTTCTCGTCATGTGATGAGTCTTTATATATTCAATTCTATTTTGTCTGATTTTAATATAGCTACTCTGTATTTATTTGATTAATATTTGCCTGATATTTCTCTTTCATTCTTTTACTTTCTTCTTTCCATGCCCTTATGTTTTACATGTTTCTCTTGTCAAAAGCACGAAGCTGAATTTTGTTTCTTTAAAACAGTCTGACTGTATTTTTAAAGGGCAAGTTCAGTCCCTGTTACATTTATCGTGTTTACTAAAACATTTGGTCTTGTTTCTATCAAATTATTTTATGCTTTCTCTTTGTCCTACTTTTTCTATTCTATTTATTGATATAAAACACTTATTTAAAAATGCATATAAGCCATAAACTTACAGTTAATGAACTGTCACAAAGCAAACATACAGCCAACCATCCCCCAGGTCAATAAATAAAACACCGCAAGCAAGCTAGAAGGCTTCGTCTTGTCCCTCCCAACCACTAACCCCTCTTTCCAATATCCTGACTTCTAACCACAGTCTTGCCTTCCTTTTCCTTAGTGATCTAGGAATAATAAATTCTGAATACAAGCCCTTTGTTGATTATAAGTAGCAAATATCTCCTCCTATTCTATGGCCTGTGTTTGCATTTCCTTAACTGTATCTTTTGATGAAAGGTGTTCTTAATTTTAACATAGACAAATTAATCCATATTTTTATTTTAGTGCCTTTTGTATTCTCTCCATAATGATAGGGATTTATTAATTACTCCCTCAAACACTGTAACTGAATATACATTCTTTAATTAGATTCATATATTTTCTTTCCTGATTAGTTTTTTTCTGATAAGGTTTTTATAAGATGGAAAAATATAGTAGATATGTATTTTCTTCCAGACTGTAGGTAACAAATCTAGTATTTGAATAAAATAAAGCTAATTCAGACTACAGAAAAATTGAGATATTCACATAGAAATAATTTTTATAGAGATTTTTATATTTCCTGAATTTTTAAAGATAATATCATTGTTACTAATTGTGAAGAAAATTTTCCTTACTATAGTACACTTCCATTTACCTAGAATCCAAACAATCAGAAAGATAAATAGCTAGTATTTTTTATAATATTGAATAGTGATAACTAATGTTCAAAATGAAACACCTAATGAATTACAAGATCTCCCAAAGATTATATTACATCCAAACTATCTGTGCTAAGATGCAAATGATAAAGCTTTGAAGACTGGTAATTCATTTATGGTAGCTGGGATAACTCTTAGTTAAAATGTCCAGAATATTTCCATTCTCTAATCAATCTGGGCAAATGTGGATTTACTCTAATAAGCAGATACATAGCCTCATAATTTGGCCTTAGATCTATCTGTACTAATTATACATATTTTTCCTTTCTAACTATCCAAGAAGCTTTCATTTGGTATGGAAGAACAGTGTTGCTTACCATTTCAGATAAGTGTAATTTATAAATTAAATCTGTACATTACTATTTGTATGAAACTGTAGACTCTATAGGAGTAATTACTAATCAGCACTTTCCCTAGCACATGGCATATAATAGATACGCAAATGTTTGTGAACAAATTACATGGCAAAAATCTAACCTGCAAAAAGAATATGTTCCATCTATAACCACAACATTTTCCACCATCTGATCGTTAAAATTCACTAGGTATCCTTCTCCTCAGCAATAAAGTTAATGAGAATAATGAAACTTGTATATACTAACTTTCTTTCCTTTCAGGTTCCTTTTGTTCACAACTGTAAGCTCCTGATGGATTCAGCTGCCACTGTAAGAGAGCACAAACATTTTATTTACATGTTTAAAAGGCTTTAGTAAATGGCATTTCATCACCTCGTTTTTAAAATACCAAAACAGCTTATAAAAAATTTTAAAAAGCAGTCAGCAAGTCCACAGCAACAAAACCCTGATAATGCTACCCTGAATGATCCTGAATATGACTCCTGGAATCAGAATCAATACTCTCAGAGAAGGAAGGGCCTTAAAGATCCTTTATGTTCATTTTACAGGTAAGGAGGTGGAAGACCAGAGACATGTAGGGACTTGCCCAATGTTACACACTAATTAAAGGCAGTGATGGAATTAGAATCTGGGTTTTCTAATGTCCAGGCACAGTACTATGGAATTTCCACCACATGATAATATATCTCTAGGTCCTATAGGACCTTACAATAACTAGAGAAGGCCTATATATTAAAGAATGAAAATATGACCAAGATTACTTTGCCTTTCAATATAGTTATTACAGTGAAATCTGTGAAAGCCGGAACTCAACAGGACTGCCTTGTTTTTCTGGGTCTCGCAAGTTCTCTGCCTTTGACAGGGTGCAGTCTTTCCACTTTTCTATTGCTCTCTATTAGTGGAAAATATTTGAGTTTTCCTTTTCTGGCAGGTTTCTGCCTTACACAGGTTTGGCTTTCACAGGTTTTACTGTATATATCACATATCTACATGATATCATGTTATAGAGTTCCTCTGATTATAATTTTCCATACCAATCATTCGGAAAGAAAAAGGGAAGCCAGGAGATTCTCAGATGTTACATATATTACTGAAGGAGTAAATAAGAGAAATTGAGTGTAATCATTATCTCATAGCACAGCCCTTCCTTTCCAATCTGGCTAGAAATTCCCTTCATTAGTCAATTATTAATGACTTAGCCAAAAGGGCCCTGGTGCCATCCCCAGAAAGACACAATTACGTGCACATTAACTGGGAGCCCCTTCCATCAGCATCAATTAATCAGATTAATTAGTTAATATATTGGGCCTTAAGGGGGATGAGATTCAAGATAAGCATTTTACCATGTAGTTAAAAATCCTGGGAAGGGGCAGGTGTGTAGAGCCAGCTAGTCACCTATAGAAATGAGATGACCAGGGCTGGCGCTAGGGAAGAGAAGAGGGCTTATAAGGGGAAGAAGTTATATAAGAAATTAAAAGAAACAAGGAAAGCATGTTTCAAAAACATGCCAAACCACTAAAATACAATAATTTGGGCAGACACAATAAAGGTCAATAATCCTGAATTTTAGCACTAAAAACCATTTGAGGGTAAAAATATATATATAAACAAATACTTGAAAGCTATTTCAATACATCCATATTTCTCAAGCTTAAATAATGCCATGTACACTCCCTTAGGAGCCTTGGTGGCACAATGGTTAAGCACTCAGCTGTTAACCAAAAGGTCGGTGGTTCAAACTCACCAACCACTCCACAGGAGAAAAGACCTGACAATCTGCTCCTGTAAAGATTTCAGCCTAGGAAACCCTATGGGCAGTTCTTCTCTGTCTATAGGGTTGTTATAAGTCAGAATCAACTCAACGGCACACAACAACAACACATACTCCCTTAAAAAAAAACAATTCTCAAACAAAAAATAATTCTCCAGACTCCCAATAATATGTCTATGAAATTCAATTTGAGAAAATCAACTTAAAAATTAATGCTTTATAATTATATTTCAATTTTGAATTATCACTACAGAAAGTAATTTTCTACTCTATAAGAGACAAAATTATTTTTTAGATTATCTTTCAAATGAAAACACAAAATTTAAAACTATTGCAGAACTCATGGATTCCTTCTAGGTCATCTGACAATAAAGTGGAAATTTGTACTGAATTCTTTCATCCTTTGATTCCTTTGAAATCATACAGAAACATATGTTTCCAATATATTTTCCCTTTCAAAAAATACACTACCTGCCTAGTTTAAAGTCTGAGAGACTTTCGTAGCACTCTAACAAGGCTTTCCATGGAATTTGAGACTCTGGATCCAAAAAGTTACAAAAACATCAAGTACTGAGTGACGATGTGCTCAATAAGATATCAAAAGTTTTTATAAAACAAAAGTAATCAAACTACTGAAGAACAGATAGATTGTTTGTGTCTGTATTACATACTACTATCTTCGTAACAATCAGGCTTGGCACATGGTAGACATTCAACAAAATGAATGAATATATGAACCATTTATCATTCTCAACCAATGGACGAAAATAAAAAACCAAACCTGTTGCTGTCAAGTCGATTCTGACTCATAGTGACCCGATAAGATCTCAAGGGAGAATAGAAGGATTATTAAATAAACAGGACTGAGAAAATTTATTAACTATTTGGGAAAAAAATTAAGCAAAATTCACACTTTACTTCAAACACTAAATTAATTCTAGGTGGTTCTCAATCTTGTTTTCTGCCTCTACAATGTTCACATCTACCACATATAACTGATCATCAGTCGCATTTATCAATACGCACAATCATTAAAGTCAAGTATATCAGCATTTCCAAGAGTAGGGGAAGGCATTATGTAAGCTGAAGTCTCCTTCTCCTCCCACTCCATGTAAGCTTTGAATTGAGAATCATTAAACATGAAACTCAACAAAAATTGGAAGAAAATACATTGCCAAATAAGGAAGACTCCTAACCATAAAAACAATGGGAGATATTAAAAAGGAAAGGATCGATAGATTTGATCACATAAAATATAAAATTTCAGTATATCAAAAATTAAATAACGGTGAAAGACTGAGAGCCTTCTTGAGAACATGAACAAGACAAGGACGCCCACTATCACTACTCTTATTCAATATTGTACTGGAAGTCTTAGCCAGAGCAGTAAGACAAGAAAGGGAAATAAAGAGTATTCAGATAGGAAGGGAAGAAGTAAAATTATCTCTATTCACAGATCACATGATCCCATACATAGAAAACCCCAAAGAGTCCACAAGAAAGCTACTGGATCTAATAGAAAGACTCAGTAAAATGGCAGGATACAAGATCAACACATGAAAATCAGCTGGGTTCCCCTACACTAATAAGGAGAACTCCAAAAAGGGAATCAAGAAAACATTTATTGTTTACAAAAGCCCCCAAAGGGATAAAATACCTAGGAATAAACCTAACCCGAATGTAAAAGACTTATACAATGAAAACTATGAAACACTACTGCGAGAAACTAAAAGAGAACTGCATAAACAGAAGAACATTCCAAGTTCACAGATTAGAAGATTTAATTAACACAGTGAAAATGTCAATACTACCCAAAGTGAACTACAGATATAATGTAATCCCAATCCAAATTCCAACACAGTTGTTAAATGAAATGGAAAAACTAACTTTATATGGAAAGGAAAGAGGCCCTGAACAGCCAAAGCAATACTGAAGAAGAATAAAGTAGGAGGCCTCATGTTTCCCAATGTCAAAACATACTATACAGACACAGTAATCAAAACAGTCTGGTACAGGTTCAATGACAGACACACAGACCAATGGAATAGAACTGAGAACCCAGAATCTATCCATCCTATGGACAGCTGATTTTCAACAAGGGGTCAAAGTCCATTTAATACCAAAGAAACCCATTGCCATCCAGTCAATTCCGACTCATAGCTACCATATAGAACGGGCCTATAGGGTTTCCAAGAAGCAGTTGGTGGATTTGAACTGCCACCCTTTTGGTTAGCAGTCAAGCTCTTAACCACCACACCACCAGGGCTCCAGGGAAGAAACAGTCTCCTCAATTTTGTTACCATTGGCCTAAACAGTATGGCAGCCACATTTTATGCCTCTGGACCTCAAGGGGTAAGGCATTATTCCAGTTCTAATGCATTTAGTGTCAAGGTGGGTCCCTTCTGAAATGCATGAAGCTCAGCAGACCAGAGATGGAGCCTCATTGTTGTATAGGCTGAGCACTGAATTAGGTGACACTTCCTGGATGCATTAGTTTTATAAGCTTTTGCCTTTTCTTCCTTTACTTCCGTGAGATAAGGCTTGCAAACATAATTATGACTTTCCTGGGTGATAGTTAGAGCCCTGATGGGTATGTTTTGGTTTCTCCGTGTCATATTTGGAAACCCTGGTGGCATAGTGGTTAAGTGCTAACCAAAAGGTCAACAGTTTGAATCCACCAGGTGCTCCTTGGAAACTCTATGGGGCAGTTCTACCATAGGGTAGCTATGAGTCAGAATCCACTCGACAACAATGTTTTTTTTTTGTTTTTTTTTTTTTTTAATTTGGAAAACCAGAGGTTCCCCATGTAACCTAATGGAAAGGCACCAGCAATAAATTATCTAGCTAGTTCTCACTGGCATACTGTCATGCCACAGATCAATGGCACCAAAGTGTCACTCACCTCAATGGTGGATTGTGTTGCCAGGTCATATTTCTCAAAATCCATATTACCAACTGAAAATTTAAACACATTCAACTAGTTAGCATGCATTCCAATACTGAAAAACACATGCCGTTAAAAAATAAAATAAAAATTTGTAAATGAAGGGGTTAACAAATGGTGCTGGCAAAACTGGATATCCATTTGCAGAAAAATGAAATAGGATCCATATCTCATACCATACACAAAAACGGATCTCAAAAACAAAGAAAAATCAAAATGAATCAAAGACCTAAATGTTAAAGCTAAAACTATAAAGTTCCTGGAAGATAACAGAGGGACAAAACTACGGGACCTAATTTCCTTTAGAAACAGATTATCAATCACAATTACAAATGCATGAACAACAGAAGACAAATTAGATAACTGGGACCTCCTAAAAATTAAATACTTATGCTCATCAAAAGACTTTATCAAAAGAGTAAAAAGAGATCCTACAGACTGGGAAAAAATCTTTGGGAACAACATATATGATAAGGGTCTAATCTCTAAAACATATGGAAAACTTCAACGACCCAACAACAAAAAGACAAACAATCCAATTAAACAGTAGGCAAAGGACATGAATAGACACTTCAACAAAGAAGACATTCAA